TCATGAGTTCCTTCTGTTTGTCATTTGAGTGAAGGATACTGGTTGTCCTCCCCAAGGGAAGATAAAACTACCTTGACAATTTCATCACTCTTGTTTAGTATGAATTATTGGCGGGTAATAACACCTGGGGAGCCATCAGGCTCCAGGTGACTAACACAGTGACCCCTGAGACTAACCATGTGAGCTAGCCACTGGGCAGCTAATAACAGTGGTCACCGCTGTCCACCTTCTGCAGTCTAACCCACAGAGACTGGAGGAGCAAGAGTGAGCCAGGAACTAGCAAACCCCTTGCTCTGTACCTCTCCACCAGTTCCCTTGGGGCCAAAGACCTTAAAGGAAGTTCCAAAGAGGCATTTCAACTGTGTGTCTATAATCACAAAGATTCAAGAAGCTCCCTTTTCCTTCTGACTAGAATTTTACCATGGGAAACAGACGCAAGCCAGGAGGTCTCCAACATGGTGGACAGGTGGACAAGGGAAAAGAGAGGCTGCTCTTTCCACTGCCTCATCTTTGGGCTCTCTTTCATTTTTCCCTGCCCTTTTCTGTGCAGTGTTTCTGCCTCCCTTGTAATCCCCCCTTCTTTCCTTTTCCTTAGAACCCCCCTCCACAGATCCATCTCCAAAGACCAAAGACCTCTTCCACAGACCAAAATGGAAATTCTATCTAAGAACTGCTTTCAACTACCTATAATTCCTTCCTTTAAGGACTCTGAAAGCCATTGCCTTCTACCCTCAGCTTAAATTTGAAATCTGAAAGCCATTGCCATCTACCCTCAGCTTCTGTGTATCTGAGTTGACCTGTGCTTATTTAAGCTTTGCGTCTCCCTAGCAAAGAAGTTCTTCATGCAACTTCAGAGGATTTCCAGTTTTAAAACATATTTTACTTTGGCCTTCTTAAAATTCTCTCCCCTGCTGCCATCTCTGGTGGCTCTAAGATTCAGCATCTCTCACCTCCTCCACATCTATAGGGCCACAGTTTGGTTCCTGGTTGGAAGAGGAGATAAAAGGATAATGAAGACCTCCTCATCTTAATCTACACTTGACCTACACTTCCTGACCATGAAGGTGGCGTCAATGTCTCTTGAAGCCCCTGACCCTTGCCTCTCTTCATGTGTACCAGACTGATAATCATCCTCCCAACTTAGATAACTGGACTTTCACTAACAAAACCCCAACCTCTCAGCCTTCCACCATCCCACGACACTCTTGTAACTGAACCAGACTTCCTGTCTTGCGGATCAAACTGAGATGAGATTAGAGGCAGTGAATGCATAGAATGGAGTTTGGGGAGTAGGGAGGGATGCCAGCTGGACCCAGATCTTCATGTGGTCTGAAATGGAATTTATATTTGATCTACTCCCTAAGTTCTGGACAAGAGTACTTTAAAAAAAAAATCAACAGCTCTGTAGCAGGGCAGCTAGTAAAAAACTTACGTGCTCCTGTGACGTTGTTTTGACTCATGTTCCAGAGGAATGTAGAATTTCAGTGACTCTAATATTATACCCATTATCTCAATGGCACCAATGGATTGTGCAGACCTGTTCTGTGGGGCTTGTTCATGACCTAGCCAAGAGCCAGCCTTCCCTGGAGGGAATCAGAAGGTAACCTGCATTTAATATCCTAGAAGACAGCTTGGTTGAATGTTACAGCCTAGATATCTACTACTTAGCCTTTAATCCCTAGTAATCCTTGCCTCCTGGCTATGTGAAAGAAAGAGAGAAAGAAAGAAAGAGAAGAGAGGGAAAAAGGAAGGAAGGAGGGAGGGAAAGGAAAGGTAAGGTCTCCTTTTTATATGGTTAAGAGCTATTTTTCAACAATCTTTTAGTTCACCAGAGACTATGTAATGTTAACAACTGGAAAAATCCCCTCCTCCATCCCCTCTCTTCACCAGCCTCTGATGCTTCCTGAGTTTCATCCTTCAGTGTCTTATGCATGGTCTAAAGACGGTCCCCCAATGAAAAGGAGCAATGAGGACATTCCAGAAACTAAGACTTCATCCACTGAGTGATAACTTTTCATTTGATCCTGTACTTAATTCAGAAAGACAGTTCTCGAGAGAATATCTCCTATTTGCTGCCCAATGCCACTCATGTTGTCATTGCCAGTTATACCAAACCTAGGTAATGTGTAAGTATAGAGAAGTAAGGTAATTGGGTTTTCCTTTCAATCTGCCCTTAGCCTGTTAGCTGGAAGTTAGCTGGAACCGCTAGCCAGGACTCATTCTGAAAATGTTCCACCTCTGCCTCACCTTATTTCATTTATGCCAATCACACAAACAAATTAAGTTAATTGCCCAATATCTTTAAACCCCTTGGAAACTGCCAGATCATTAGAACAGAAAGATGAAATCATTGGCCGCTCAGTGCCTACCATTACTGGGTAGAACACCATAGGAAGACTCGGCCAGAATGTTCAAAGTAGGTAAGCAGCTCTGCTGGCTCCATCTAGAAGGGTAGTATGGGTGGGTCCCCAGGCTCAGGGGCATGAGTCTTTGGGGAATCTTTCTGCCCTTCTTCCCCAGGAGAACCACAGAGAAGGGAACTATAAGCCACCTCAGGGGGACTGGGAACAAATCTGAGAAAGGGTCACACGTGAAGGGTGTGAGTACTCTGGGCTACCAGCCATTTCTGAATTTAGCTCAAGAAGTAGAAGCGGCACCAGGTGGTCTTTTAAGATGGGGTACCAGGGGATCCCAGAGAGTGGCAAACAGCACAAACATGGCTCTGGGCTAAAGGTGCAGATGCCCAGACCCAGTAGGTCCAGTCTCCCCTTCTAGCTCACCAAGGGATTCCACTTGCTTCCGGGCAAGATACCAGAGACTGGAATGACTGCACAAGAGCATCTAGGAAATGTCCTTATGGGGTTGGCAGTGTGTCAGTAGACTGTGGCTTCTCTGAGGGTGAGGGCTCTACGTTAGGCTTTTTCCTATTGTTTCCACTTAGAAGTCACCCAGTGGTTGCTTTCTGATTTTATTATGAATGGTTAGTTATTTTTGAGATCATGGATCCTATGAACATTGTTCTTCAAATATAAACAGGCCTACATGAGACATTGATAAATACTGCTATAGCAGGTCAAAAGTGCCCTCTGAATAGCATAGCTTAAGGCCCAAAAAAGAAAGTAGTCTGTGACTTTCCAGATTCTCCCAAAGTGTGACTCCTAGGAGAGCTATCATTACCTGCGCTGGGAACCCCAAGTAGGAGTCCCAGAGAGCCCCATCCTTCCTCTCTCTACTGCCTCCCTTGCTCCTCTTGATTTCTTAACTCCTACTACAGAGCTGTATCCTAAGGATTCTCAGTACATCTTATTAAAATACTAAGATATAATCAAGGTTATTAGAATACATGGACACAAATGGGTTCTCTAAATTGTCTTTCTGGTCCTGTTCTGGATGGGGTCAACCCAGAGGACTCTCTTAGGAGTGATGGGGAGCTTTGACAGTTTTCAGGATAGATCCAAGAGGAGAGCAACAGCCCAGGCCTGCTGAGAACTCTTCTGATGCCCTGGCATTGCATGTACTATAGATTTGTCTCCGTCTGACACTCACACTCCCTCCCCTACTGAAGCTCTAGAAACACAGAACTCCTAAGCTATTAAGACGGGAGGACAAGCACTCAAGCAGCTAGAGATGTCTTCCGTGTGTGGCTGTGTGTGTGTGTGTGTGTGTGTGTGTGTGTGTGCGTGCATCTGAGTTTCTATGTTCTTTCTCAGCCTGCTAGCCAAATTCTAGTGATTCCACAGGCTCCAGGCCTGTGGACTGACTTGGCAGCTGGTATTCCTCCTGAAGCAGAAACCAAGATCTAGAATGTGCTCTCTAAGGGACTGGAGAGGTGTCCCTTCCTTTCTCTTCCCTTGCCCCACCCTTTATCTCCATCATTCCTGAAAAAGGTCATCTTACCAATTTGCTGTAGGGAAGAAAAGGAATTTGCTGAGAAATTCATTAACAAAGAAGTATTTTCAGTCTGCAAGTAAATGTTTAGTTGTGCACATTTCCATCCTTCAAAACTTCCATTACATGTTTTCCTCGTTTATACCTTAAAAACAGAAACACAAGAGCAACCATCTGAAAGTGGAGGGTAAAAGCAAAGTCAGGACCTTCTAGAAAGAGTTAACAGCTCAGAATGATCAGGACCAATCAGGAGCTGAGCTCTGAGTGCTGGAGCCCAAAGCATAGGAGAACCTTCCCAGATACGGGCTCAAGGAATGGAGGTGGATGTGGGATACTCACTAGTGGCCGGTTTCTTCAGCTCCTGCCTCAAAATGAACTCAGCAGTCAGACCCATGAGAACAGCTATTTTGGGTGTTAATAATAACATCCTAAATTATGTGCAGAGCTTTAAACGTAAGAAACATTGTTTCACACCAATGAGCCAGGCTCTCCCCACCTATAGACTAGTAGCTGAGTGGGGCCATTTCCCTCCTGAGCCTGAGCTTGAGGACTAGCCCTGATACAGAAGAGCTTGAGGACCACCTCTTTGGGGCCTCCTCAGTGAAAACTAAAACTGAGTTTTCCCCTCAAATTCAAGGGTCATTGCCCTTGACCTCCTTTGCTCACAAATGTTTGGGCAGGGACATGCACTGGGACATAAGCAAAGCCTTTCTCCTCCAGCTGGCAATGCTTGGGGTGAGTTAAAATGCAGAAAGTGCAACCCCTCCAAGGTTATCTTAGGACACATAACTCATTTTAGGGGAAAAAAAAATCCTACAAAATTCAGAAGACCTCCTGTGTAACAAGCGCATGAATTATTTCATTCGTGGCCAGCAGTGGTCTTGAGTAGACAATGCCTTCGGGTCATCCCTAGAGAGGAGACCCATCTGTGCAGAGCCCACACTCACAGTGATGTCCCAGAACCTGCTAGGCCTGTGCTTTGTATTTCTTTCACTTGTTTCCTTTTGCCCTCTCCTGCCACGGTGTTGCTCCTGTGTTAGCCAAGACCTAGAGTACCAGGCATCTTCGTTGGAGACTCATTACAGCTTATTTCTATCTGCCTTTCTTTAAAGCCAGCTGAACATACCCAATGCTCTCCCTTTATGGTAAGACCGACCCTCCTGACCACGCTCTTAGCTTCTGTGACCCTCCTCTAACACCCCCACTCTCACCCACCCTGATGCCCGGCATCTCTGGGAACCCAGCCTCACTCCCACTGCATGTAGCCGCCATGTCTGTCCTGCACCTCGCCTGCCCGGTCATGTGTGAGCTGTGACGTGCTTTTGTGTAATGGTGTTCCTTTCCCTCCCTGAGCCTTCCTTTGGGTGATCATTCACTGTGATCTTGACTATCTAATGAGCCACCAGGAGAGAAGTGGACCCAAGGGTCTTTTCCTGTTAAACATTCTGAGGACTTCACGGGCTAAAGTCTCTAGCTTTAATCCGATGTGGGAAATTTGCAGTGGGTTCCCATGAGCGCCACGATCAGGGGCTCTGCAGAAAAGAGGAAGGAGAGGGATGACCCAGGCGGGAGACAGAAAGTCAGGCGATGACTTCCACGAACCATGCAGTGTCTGTAACTACTGGCCTCCTGTGTGCTCTGAGTTTAAGGCCAAAGTAAAAGGTTGTAAGCTGGAATCTATCACTGAGAGTGCAGCTGAACATCCAGGCATGAATTTTTCTAAATTCCTGAAGTTCGTTCAAATTAGGCTACACAGAAAAACAAACTCAGGGGTTTGATGGGAGCATTCCTGATACAGGACTGTGATCCGCTTTGCCTAAAGCGATAGAGGCTGCCAGGTGTGACCTTGACGTCTCCTTGGAACAGGCTTCTCTAAAAATCTGCCATCACACATTTCAAAACGGAGTCAAGTGTGAGTTTTTAAAAGGACAAGTGAGTGGGTTGATTCCCTGAAAGCGGACGGGGGCAAGATTGGGTCGGCGGGTGGTGCTTCCTAACACAGCCCCTCCCAGGCCGGCTGGAAGGCCGCCCAGGAAAAGGCTGAACCTGGGCATCCTACCCTACTTCCCAGAGGCGGCCCCTGGGGTCTCCTGACTCCCTGCATTGTCATTTGGTTTTTTGGAGGACATTTCTGTGTCTCTGTAGAAATGTGTTTATCCTCCTAGAGTGTTAGGAAACTGCAGCTACTGGGAGGTGGGGAGGAGCGAGTTTACGGGGTGGGGGATTTGAACCCAGCATGGAATTTAAACTGCACGCTTGACTTTTCTTTTTCAACTCGTCAAATCCAGATGCCCCTGTGGCACCAACTTCTCAAACTCTTGACACTCGCAGCTGAACTTCCCCACTTCAGCTTGTTCTTTCTTCTTTTTTCTCCTTTCCCAAACATGGTGGAACTGACAGCTGAATTATAAAACCCTGAGCCTTCTCTGCCTACTCCTCTGGGGGAACACAACCTCCTTTTAAGGAAAGAAAATAGAATTTCAAGTAGATACATGGATGATAGAAATGCAGAGATTAAGGGCATCAAAGGCTTCAAAATAGGCAGGCAGGGTAGGGCCCCGGGGTAGGACCAGGGCTACGGCTGGCTGTCCCTCCCGGGCTCCAGAGCAGCCTGTGGAGCAGCCCCCCACCCCAAGCCCACAGGTCACCCTGCCTGAGGGGAACAGGCCCCCTCTGCGGATCTGAGGCAGCTCTGGTTTGAAACTCAAAGAGATCCTGTGACTCTCCCCCAGTCTGGGGAGTCCAGAGAGTAGGAGAGACCCTTCCGGCATGGATTCTGCGCAGCCCTCCCAGGGCAGAACGAGGGTGTGCGGGCAAGGGGCAAACCGCCTCTGGAGCTTTCTGCCACCCTCGTGGGTTTCCCGTACGGAGCAAGAGTAAGATGGGTGGCCTCAGGAACCACTGGCCATGTCCGTGACAGTCAGCAGGCTACCAGGTTAGAACAAAGGGCCGCTGGGGGCTCTCAGGGGCACTGGCGCTAGTAGGATTTTCAGGGGGGGCAAACAAGGTGTGGACCTTGTCAGGGACAATTGGCCTGAAATGATTCAAAAGAAAGCAGAGAAGCAAGAAGTTGGGGGGGCCTGCACAGATCCTCCCTGCCGGTGACCTGGAGACTCCTCCTCCCTTGAGGGTCGCGTCGGACAGGATCAGTAACAGGAAGCCTGAAGGTCCGTTCTCTCCTGGTGCCAAAAGGGCTGGGTGAGCTGCACTAGCTCTGGGAAATGGGCGGAGGGCTCCCAGCTCCAGCTTTCTGGCCAGCACGGGCTGGAGGAGGGACGGGGGAGGTGGTCAGTCCGTGTTGTTCTCAGGTCTGGAGGCAGAGTGTGACAGGACAGCCCTGGCCAGGCACATGCCTCAGCCCCAGGCCCTCCGGGTCCCACACGTTGAGGAGGGCCCTCGGCCAGCAGACTCCAGCAGCCCTTGCACCGGGTTCCTGTCTCCACTTGGCTTGGCCTGGATCCAGTTCTTCCTCACCTTCCCCTTGTCCCTGGGCTCCAGGACTACCCTGAGGAGATGATCTGCCCTAAGCAGAATCCTTCTGTCCTCCTACACCCTGACCCGGACTTATCTAGGGCTCGCTTCGAGTGTGCCTCCCACCCCTTCTAGGATCTCCCACAGTCTAGAAAGGGTTGGGGCCTCCCAGAAGCCCCATATCAGAGGGGAGTAACAGGGGAACAGCTTCAGCGTCTGAGGTGAGGCAAGGGCTTGCAAACAGACAGTCTCTGCGGGCTAAGCAACACCCCTATCCCCACTGTCCCTGCAGCCATGTGGGAAGAGGTGGCACAACAAGACTTCCGGAGTCCTGAGCTGCCAGAGCACCAGATCCCTGCCGTGGGCACCCCACTCCAGCCCTATTCTCTGTCAGCCCTCCCTGCCCACCAGTGCCGTCACCCCTCGGGCTGGGATGGAGGCCAAGACCCACTCAGCCACCTTGCTGAGCGCCACATCGCACTCGGGATGCACGTCACCCTGCCAGGCCCGACGTAGGCTGCGGCTGCAATCTCAGCTCACAGCCGAGGGTGGGTGCACCCAAGGCAGCTCGCTCTCGGCCTAGATTTCAAAGCATATGGAAGTTCCTTATGGAGTCTTCGGTAGCTCCACCCAGGGGGTTAAGAATCAGGAGTGAAGGGGAAAAGGGGAGAACTGATAAACGGGGTCATAGGCTCAGGGGCCTGGGCACAGCTTGGCTCTGCCGAGGTTGTCAGGCCTGGGTTGTCTACCTGGAAGAGGGGGGCAGCTGGCCTCCCCATCCATGGCCCAGGGCAGAGAAGCTAGTGCAGCTAACCTTGCCCTGCCCTGCCCGGCCTCCTCCCCAACCAAGGGCTGTGCTGCTCAGAGCAGGGCCCACCTCGTTCTTGCCCGCCCCTCTCTGTTGCTGTGTTAACTACCACCTCCTATTGCCGATGGATTCCAGAACGCAGAGGAGAACTCCCGCATCTCCATCACCTTCTTCCGCCTCTTCCGGGTCATGCGCCTGGTCAAGCTGCTGAGCCGAGGGGAGGGAATCCGGACCTTGCTGTGGACCTTCATCAAGTCCTTCCAGGTAACCACCTCCACCCTCAGTGGGCTGCAAGAAGAGCATCCTTGGCTCCCAGAGTGGGTGCTGCACCAGGGGTTGCACCCAGCTCCCCTGGGGCTCCCTGAACAGGAAGCAGTGCCACTAAGAGTCAAGGGCCAGCCTTACCTCGCTACTCAGTAGCTGTGTGACCGCAGCCTCCCTCTATGCCCTTGCTTTCCTCCTGTCTATAATGAGGCCCCAGGACTCCATCTGTGTTTTTCAAAAGCATGCTCCTGGAGCCCCAGATTTCCCCCAAAGCCAGGGTAAAGGAGAGGCTGAAGTGGTTTTCTTCTTTCTTCTCTCTCTCTGAAGGCTTTCTTCTCTCATCCGTGCATTTTTCCTCAAGAATTTACTGCACAAAGAGGTTTTGTGGTGGAAAAAATTTGAAAAACATGGGCCCAGATGATCTGATAACCTCTGGGGCCCTCCCACTTTCAGCATTTTTAGGATCCAGCTGTCACCTTCCTCCCAATAGGCATTTCTATAATGTCTGCTGTCCACACCTGTTTGTAGTCTCAGCCAAACTCTCTAGAACCCTGATGTCACTCCACTCAAGGAGACATGGTCCCCTCCCAGGGGCCCAGGGTTGCCTAACTATAGGATTAATTCTCTTTTCTCAGCCATTATTTTCCATCTGTGAAAACAGAATAATGATCGCCCCTGGCCATCTCTGAGGAGTGTTATGTAAGTTTGAAGTTAAAGAGAAGCAGTCTCCGTGAGGTCACTTGAGTTCCTTGAAGATGAGTGGCGTAGGGACCCCTGCATGAACATCCACGCTCTTCCCTAGCCCGACGCTGAAAGCAGCTTCTCCTTGCCCACGGAAGCACCACTCTCCGGCTTCCCGACACTGAAGGATTCCTTCCACGTGCCCCACTCTAGCCAGTCTGAGCCCAGTTACAGGCACAGGGGAGGTCCCTGATCCAAATATCCCCAGAACTGAAGGTGTAGCCAGAGGCAGTGCTCTGCGGCCAGGTGCCTGCCTTGCTTTGGAATCCTCTCCCAAAGGCACAAACACCATTCCAGGCAGCCTCCCGCCCTGGGACTCATCGGCCCAGGCCCTTGACTGGCCCAGCCTGGTTGCACTCCTCATAGGCAGCCCTCTGCCCACCAGGCCTTCCTGAGGAGCTGCAGCTGCCCTCCCTGCTAGCCCAGTCCCACCTCACCTACCCCTACCCTGCCATACCCGGTTCCCCAGTCCCTGGGAATCTGAGGATTCTAGGGAGAGCAGTACTGGGGGCTGACCCTATCCGTGGAATCCCATGGCCATGATGACTATAGAGGCTGCCAACGTACTTCCTCCCGCCCCCCCCACACACACACATACATATTTCCTAGGAAAAGGCGACAGACCTTGGTAACTGTGAGGAGGGGCTTGAAAACGTGGAGCCCAGCTCTAACCTGATGGAAGCCCCATCCGTGTGATCTCGCAGTGCCATCTAGTGGCGACTGGACGCCTGGCAAGGCATTTCCTAGCCTTGAATGTGGCCCCCCGGATTCCAGAATAGGCCCTGAGCCCCAGAAGGCCTCTCCCCAGGAGAAGCGGCAGGGACTCTAGAAAATTAAGTTGTCTGAGCTGCCAGGCAGATCATACATGGAGTGAATAAAATATATGGGACCTGAATACATGGGAGGCATCACACTCAGCCTTTTGTAAGCCTTCTATCGTTTAAACACAACAGAACCCCTAAGAGGTCATTACTCTTCTCACTTTTCAGAAAAGGAAACTGAGGCTCAGAGAGGTTAAGTCATATGGCCAAGCTTTCATGATGAGAAAGTGACAGAAATCAGATTTGAGTCCATGATCTTTCTTCTACCTAAGTTTTCCTTAGTAATTATTTTTATAATGACTAACGGGATATCATCGAGCTATGTAAAGGAAGGGTGTAACCTGCCTCCACCCCACACCTCCCCAGGAAACCCTGGGGTGTATCCTTCACGGCTTTCTCCCTACTCAACAAAGCCCTATGTCTAGTCAGAGGACATTTGTTCATGCTTGATTGTTTTTACTAAAGCGGTATCCTACTATATGTATCTGTTACTCTGCAGCCTGCTTATCTCCGTGCACCAGGTGATTGAAACCAAGGGAAAATGAGAGGTCAGTGCCATGGTTCAGGCCTTCTCCTGGTGCCCAGATCTTCTGTGGGGGCTCTTGGAAGTGGCCCCCCAAAGCCAGGTCACAACACCCCCTGGGAAGGGATCTAGTCAGCCATCTCCCACCAGCCTCACATTGTCTCCTTGCTTCCTTCCAGGCCCTGCCCTATGTGGCTCTTCTAATAGTGATGCTGTTCTTCATCTACGCAGTGATCGGGATGCAGGTAGGACAGCCAGCCCGCTGCTCCTCGGCCTCTTCCCGCCTCCCAGGCCCACGTTCCCAGACATCTCCCTCTTGCTCCTGATGCTCCCTCCCTCAGCTTCCACTTCTGAGGCCAAGAAGGTCAGAAGAATTAGAAAGTCCCTTCAAATGACATCCTGCATGTAGCAGGGTGAATGGCCATGCGCTGCCCTCACTTCTCTCCCCTTTGCCCCGGGCCTGGTCTCTGCTCTCTGTAGGGAAAACCACTCCCGGACTGACACCGAGGGCCTCAGGAGAGACAGGTCCTTCCAGAAAACAACACGAAGGGTGTGTCAAACAGCACCCCTCCCCTTGCCCAGGTCTGACAGCCTGAGAAGTATCCCCCACCCCAGCACCATTCTGGAGGAGCTAATGACAGAGAGGGGTGGAGGAGAAAGGGAAAGAAAGAAGGAGGAGGGAGAGGGAGGGAGGGAGGAGGGAAGGCGGGAGTCAGGCTGGCAAGCTCTCCCCATCAAACACGCAGCAGTTTCAAGGGCCTCCCCTCACAGGTGCCCACTGCACGTTCCCCTACCTCCAAGCCTGCAGCATTCTCCAGCCAGCCTCTCCTGGGGGGACCCGAGAGCGCCAGAGCCCAGCACTCACACCAGCCAGGACTTTTCCTTAGTGGCTCCTGAAGGAAGATTCCCCTGCTTATTCTTTGCAGAAAGACCCCGGGATCCTAGGCCAGAATCTTAGATAAGAAGAGCCACCCTGCCACCTCACCAAGGGCAACGGCTTCTAAGATAGGCATAGCTCTAACAGGCCACAAAAAATAAGGAGACCACTAATTTCAGGGATAGATTAAGCTTGCCCACATCCCAGATTGCGCCAAAATCCAAGAACTGAATTTGGAAGAGTAGACATCTGGGCTGAAATGGCAATGAAAAGGAGGCCAGAGGCTTGAGTTCTGAGGACCTAATGGTGACTGTAATTGGTAACAGTGCTGTGTACTTGGAAGTGGCTGCCAGTAGATCTTAGGCATTCTCACCACACACACACACACACACACACACACACACACACACAGCTAATATGTTAACTGTGGGAGGTGATGGATGTGTTCATTACCTTGGTCTTGGTAATGATTCTACAAGCATTGTACATCAAATCACCACCACACCATACACTTTAAATATAGACAATTATGTTTGTTAATTATTCCTCAATAAAGTCTTTTTAAAGAGAAAAAATATATATTCTCAAGAACCTGTAGCCAAAAAGGACACCTGAGAGCACTCTGTCCCCACACAGAAGCACGGGGCTGGTGGCAGTGTCCACCTGCTCTCAGCCCAGCTCCCCGTGGCCCGGCAGGACCTCTCTTGAGGGTCCATGGGTATTTTTCTTCTCACACCTGTCCAGCGTGGTGGATGGAGATCAAAGGCTGGATGAGGCAGCAGGTTCCTGCCCCCATGAGGCCCTGCCGGGTCACGTCAGGGGACTCAGTTCAGCTCCTGGGCTGGCCGGACCCCCAGTCAGCCAAGACCTCTGAAGAGACCCCTGAACAATGAGTGGGGACTCTTACACTGCCTGCCCACACTTCGCTGAATCTACCTTCTCTCCCCCTGCTTAGGTGTTTGGGAAAATTGCCCTGAATGACACCACAGAGATCAACCGGAACAACAACTTCCAGACCTTCCCCCAAGCTGTGCTGCTTCTCTTCAGGTGAGTCTCTGAGGACAGATGCTTACAAACACCTCCATGACACAGCCCTGAGGTCTGGACGTAGAATGCGAGGGAACCCTTCCAGGGGAGCGGGCGAGGAGGGAAAGGATGCTGGATCTCCCTCCCCGCACTAGAAAGCTGGCATTTCCGTGCTATTTGCAATACTTCCCACTGAGCAGCACACTGGCCACTGACAAACCTGCCAGTAACCACCCCAGAATGCTAGAGGATCACAAGTCAAACACTGACAACACCCTCGTCTGGAAGCCAAACAGCTCAAAGCCAAGCCTGTGACACATTCGCTTTGGGTAACACACCTGACTTCTCTGAGTCTCGGTTCCCTTGCAAACAAGTACAGCTGCCAATGTCAATGCCATGTGCTCTACTGGTTATTATGTCCTCGTGAACTTAGTGTCCTCCTCATTAAGCCAGCCATGAGCCTTCACCCTTCCCAGAAGGCCACGGCCTCAGGCCTAGCTGGGGTCAAGAGTGTTTCTCAGCCTGCTTCTGACTGAGTGAGTCCATGTCGCAGCCTGCTTCTTCCTCCTCTGACTCTTAATGACCCCCTTGCTCTGTCCCCTTGGTCTTCCTCGCTCTCCTGTTCCTCACAGGCTGGGCTGCTAGAGGAGACTATCTAGACCATCTAGACCAGGGCTGGTAGCTGAAAACTATTTACCCCATCCCTGGACCAGATGATTTCTAAAATCCATTCCAGCTTACATACTCTCCATGTTGTGGCACTGGGAGAGGCAGTGAACTCCCTGCCATTCCCTGGGGTCCCTCTCCAGAAGATCCAGAGACCCACTCTCTCAGAGAGCCCCACCTTCACCGAGTTCGACAGAATCCTTTCCCCACACTCAAGCCCAAGTATCATTATTACTCAAAATGTATTAAATCGAAATGACAACACTTTAAATATCAGTGAGACATTACCACCTCCCTCAGATGGTGGACTTTGAGAACACAAAGGCCACTGTAAACCACAATCTAACAACAACGCTTAAGCCTGTGCCATATTTAAATACCAGAGCTGGACACAGGTATAAGACTGAGCACATGGCTCCCTCTCCCCTCCTTTCCTAAATTTCTTAATGACAGAAGGTTTTTCTTAAAAGAATAAACCCACAACAGTACTAAGAAGGAAGGTTTAAAAAAAAAAAAAAAAAACACCATGGAAGAGCACTATGAATGAACGAGGAATTTCTAAATGGAAGGAACCAGAGGGATTCAATTGACAAAGGAACGAGATCTGAGGAGAACCTATCCCCAAGAATGTGTGGTCTGTGGAAGAAGTGAGAGCAGTTCCAGGATTGGCAGGTAAAAAGCCTGGGAGAGACCTGGGGCCATGACGAGACTGGCTCCTCAAAGGACCTGTGTTTGGAGAGCAGTTGCTTATGCTCACAAGCTGAAAGGAGCAGCACTTGACATCACGCCCCCAGGCCTTGGGGTCTGAGAAGTAGAGCAGGTCCCCCCGAGGAACCCCTACCCTCAAAGAGAGGCTACCTCCCCACCTCCCCTGGCGGCACATGTTCTGTTTCTTTCATGGTCCCCAGAGAGGCTCTGGAATGAGAACTTGATCTACAGAGATGTGAACTGGGTCCTCAGTCACAAAGAACAGTCAATAATAAACCCAAAGTATTTGGAGGGAAACGAATACCAATAAAGATCAATAATCCTCAGTTAGCAGATGAATGAGCACAAGAGGAGGAAAAAGAACATATAAAGCTATAAGATTTGAAAATAAATATAATTCACATCTTTAGAGAAGCTGCAGAGCATATTACATCTGTTGAATTAAAAAGCGGGAGGCAGAGGAGAAGTCAATATTAAGTCATTATTAAGAAGAACAAATTAAAGAGACAACTCAGGAAAACATCCTTGTTGAAATTTTCAGAAAATGGGCACAGCTAAAGAATGAAATAATGAGCTGAAGGAGCAAATCTAGGGTTCTCTCAGTATACAGCCAAAAGGACAAAAAGATTAAAAATATAAATAAAATATATATAAATATACATTTATTTATATATATAAGGACAAAAGACAAAAAAATTGAAAATATAGATAAAATATATATAAAATATAAATCAAAATTAATATAAATCAAAGTTATAATAAAAGTTAATATTTATCATTCTAATACAAGTTCAGGTAAAAACAACAGAATGAATGGAAAGAATGAAATCAAGGGATGATCAAAGAAAATTTCAAATAAAGATATGAGCCTTCAGGTTGAAATGGCTTACTAAGTGCCAAATAGGTTTGTCAAAAAGTCCCTTCATCAGACACAGTATGAAGTTTTAGAATACCAAGAATAAAGAAAATATCCTAGAAGCATCCCAGAGAAAAAAGTGAGTTATTTTCAAAAAATACCAATTTTCATTAGACTTCTCATTAACAAAAGTACATAATAGAAGACAAATAATGTATGCAATATTATGAAGAAAAAATATGTATGTATTTTTTTATTTGACATAGAGAGAGAGAGCCCAAGTAGGGAGAGCAGCAGGCAGAGGGAGAGAGAGAGGAAACAGACTCCCCGCTGAGCAAGAAGCCCAATGTGGGACTTGATCCCAGGACCCTGGGATCATGACCTGAGCCAAAGACAGCCGCTTAATTGACTAAGCCACCCAGGCACCCTAAGAAAATATATTTTGAATGGAGATGCCTGTAATACAGCCTAATTAGCATTCAGGTAACAAAGCAAAATTGATTCCAAAAGTATAAGAACTCAGAAAGTTTACTCCCTTATATAAACCTCTGAAACAACTATGCAAGGATGCCCTTCTACAGAATGAAAAATTAATCTAAGATATTGAATGAAGAGAGTAATGATATTAGTAAAGTAACCATAAAGTTTATAGCTATGAGTTATGAGCAAAGAAATCATAAAGCTCATATTAAATCTAAATAATTGTTAAGGGAGGTATTATTTATTAAATAATTATTGCTAATTTTTAAGTGTAATAATTATTTTGTGGTTACGTAAAACATATTGTTTTATTTTCAGAATGCATATTGAAGTATTTAGGGTTGATACAATGATATTACATGAGGTGTGGGATTTGCTTTAAGATATCCCATCATGGAGATAAAAGATACAGAATGGGGAATATAGTCAGTGGTACTGTGATACTGTTATATGGTGACAGATTGTGGCTACAGTCATGGTGAGCTATGGAATCACTATGTTGTACCCCTGAAACTAATGTAACATTGTGTGTCAATTCTCAATTAAAAAAAAAAGATTTATTTATTCATTTTAGAGAGAGAGGGAGAGAGAGTGTGTGCATGTACAGGGGGAGGGGCAGAGGGAGAAGGGGAGAAGCAGGTTTCCCACTGAGAAGGGAGCCCCATGCTGGGCCCACACTAAGCTCCGGCTCAGTCTCTATCCTGAGATCATGACCTGAGCTAAAATCAAAAGTCGGATGCTTAACAAACTGAGTCACCCAGGCGCCCCTCCTCTTTCAGTATTTTTAAAAGGTGAGAATGCAAAAGAATAAAATAAGATAATAAAATAAAATACTCCAACCAAAAAGGGTAAAGGGGGTGGTTGGGGAAGTAGATGAAACACACACAGCAAAATATTGATGATTGTTAAGATTGGGTGATGGGTACATGGCGTTTCTTTGTATTTTCTACTTTTGTATATGGTTGAAAGCTTTTGTAATAAATTTTTTAATAAAAAATAATAACTGTTAAGGTAAAATGTCCAAAACCTTAATAGCAATTTGGAAGTGAAATCCTATGTTATCTCAACAAGGTAGGAAGAATGAGAAACATGAAAATGTGCTGACATTCTTCTCTTGTTTATGGAAAAGAAACAGATATCGCTCAATCTATACACAGCCAGTGGAAAGTGTATAAATAGGTATGTTAAATATTTGAATGTAAACCATTAGAGAAACAGAAATGGAATATATATATTCCAAATCTCTAGATGGAAAAGAAAAAAAATGCAAGGAAAACCTTAGCAATTCTGCAAAAGGAAGGAAAGACAAAAGAAGGAAGGTGGGGTGGGGAGGAAGAGAGGGGGAAAGGAAATTAGAAAATAAAACAAGATGGTAGGAATAAAAACAAAAATTAATCACTAAAAATTCAATTTCTCTATTAAAAGATAGATACTCTAATGTTGACTTCAAGAAGTCTAACTGTAGCCTGTTTATGATAGAGTAAAATAAAGGAATGGGAAAATAAAGGAATGGAAAAAGAATACTAAACAAAACATCCAAAAAAAAAAAAAAATAGATGTAGTAATAACATCAGAAGAAATAAAATTCCAGGTGAAAAGCATTAAACAATACAAAGAGGGATATTTATTATTGATAAAAGGTATAATCCACCAAGATTACAAAACAATCATAAAACTACATGGAAACATATCAAGGATACTAATGAATGATAAGGGGGAAATGAACACACACACACACACAATGGGAGACATGTAAAAACATGACAGAACAAATAGAACAAAATAAAAGAAAGGGTAAAAAAAAATCTAAAAATACAACTGATAAATTTAAGTAAATTTGTAATCAATAGATGACCCAAAAAAGTACTTTGTTTTTAAGAACCCAGAAACATTCATAAAAATGGGCCAAGATTTAAGTCACAAAGAAGAATTCAATAAATTCTAAAACTTCTCTAACTTCAATACAACAAAAATTAGAAATTAACCACAAAATTGGTAGTTCCTCCAAAATCTACCCACTTAAATGTTTTGAGCCACTGTTCTTTTTTTTTTTTAAGATTGATTTATTTATTTATTTATTTATTTGACAGAGAGAGAGATCACAAGTAGGCAGAGAGGTAGGCAGAGGCAGCAGAGGAAAGCAGGCTCCCTGCTGAGCAGAGAGCCTGATGAGGGGCTCAATCTCAGGACCCTTTTTTTTATATGATTATCTGTTTTGTGTGTGTTGAGTTTGAGGAGTTCTTTATAGATCCTGGATATCAACCTTTTGTCTGTACTATCATTTGCAAATATCTTCTCCCATTCCATGGGTTGTCTCTTTGTTTTTTGACTGTTTCCTTTGCTGAACAGAAGGTTTTGATCTTGATGAAATTCCAAAAGTTCATTTTCGCTTTTGTTTCCTTTACCTTTGGAGACATATCTTAAAAGAAGTTGCTGTGGCTGATATCGAAGAGGTTACTGCCTATGTTCTCCTCTAGGATTCTGATGGATTCGTCTCACGTTGAGGTCTTTTATCCATTTCGAGTTTATCTTTGTGTACGGTGTAAGAGAATGGTCGAGTTTCATTCTTCTACATATAGCTGTCCAGTTTTCCCAGCACCATTTATTGAAGAGACTGTCTTTTTTCCACTGTATATTTTCTCCTGTTTTGTCGAAGATTATTTGACCATAGAGTTGAGGGTCCATATCTGGGATCTCTACTCTGTTCCACTGGTCTATATGTCTGTTTTTATGCCAGTACCATGCTATCTTGGTGATCACAGCTTTGTAGTAAAACTTGAAATCAGGTAACGTGATGCCACCAGTTTTATTTTTGTTTTTCAACATTTCCTTAGCAATTCGGAGTCTCTTCTGATTCCATACAAATTTTAGGATTATTTGCTCCAGGACCCTGAGATCATGACCTGAGCTAAAGGCTGAGGCTTAACCCACTGAGCCACACAGATGCCGCTTGAGTCACTGTTCTAAATAACTCACAGCTGAAGCTACATACTTCTTAGAAATTAAAGAGTTAGAGCAGTACATCTTAAATTTACAAAATGCACCAATCAATACCAAAGAAAATTTCAGAGCCATAATTTATTTTATAAAATCTATAATAACCAAACTAATGAATGGAAAAAGAATAGCAAATAACCCCAAAGTATGAAAGAATACACTTACTAAAATAAGAGCAGACACTAATAAAATATAAAACAAAAATATTTATCAATAAACCCTAAAACTAAGTTCTTTGAAAAGAACAATAAATAGACAAACTCTTGTCAAAACCAATTTTTAAGAAAGACACGTCAGGAATAAGAAAAGTCACACAATTATAGATATGGAAGAGATTTTTAGAATGATAAAATATTATGAACAAATTTATGCCAATATATGAGAAAATTTAAAAGTAGGTGATTTTATGTAGGAAAATATAAATCACAAAATTGTCTTAAAAAGAATTTTTTTTAAAGATTTTATTTATTTATTTATTTGTCAGAGAGGAAGAGAGAGAGAGACAGCACACAAGCAGGCAGAGAGGCAGGCAGAGGCGGAGAGAGAGAAGCAGGCTCCCTGCTGAGCAAGGAGCCCGATGCGGGACTCGATCCCAGGACCCTGGGGTCATGACCTGAGCCGAAGGCAGCGGCTTAACCCACTGAGCCACCCAGGCGTCCCTTAAAAAGAATTTTTTTAATTAACCACAATAGAAACTGAAAAGATAGTCAAGGTTTTGGTCCTCAGAAAGTTCCAAGATCCAGAGGCGCCTAGATAGCACAGTTGGTTAAATGTCTGACTCTTGGTTTTGGCTCAGGTTGTGATTCAGAGTCCTGAGACCCAGTCCCATGTGAGGATCCTGGCTCGGTGGGAGTCTGCTTCTCCCCTGCTTCCTCTGCCCCTCCCCCTATTCCCACCACTGACACTCACAAGCACTCTCTCTCTCTAAAAATAAATAAATCTTTTTTTTTTAATGGGCAAAAGACTTGAATAGATTTTGAATAGACATTTCTCTGAAGATACATGAATGGGCAATGAGCACACGAAAAGATGCCTAACATCACTAACCACAGGGAAATGTAAATCAAAACCACAGTGAGCTACTACCTCATACTCATTAAGAAGGCTACTATCAAAAAACAAAACAAAACGAAATGGAAAACAAGTGTTGGCAAGGATGTGGAGCAATTGGAACCGTTATGCCCTGTTGCAGGATATAAAAAGGCATGGCCATTGTGGAAAATTGTATGATGGTTCCTCCAAAAATTAAAAATAAAATTATCATATGATCCATCAATTCCACTTCTGGGTATATATCCCAACCAAGAATAGAAGAGATATTTGTGCCCCTATGTGGAAGCAACCCAACTGCCCATTGATAGGTGAATAGATAAGCAGAATGTAGTATATATATACAATAAAATATTATTCAGCCTTGAAAAAGGAAGGGAATTCTACAATATGCTCCAACAGGGTTGAACCTCAAGGACAGTACTAAGTGAAATACGTTAGTCACAAAAAGACAAATACTATGTGATTCCACGTATTTTAGGTACTTAGTCAAAATTGTAAACACAGAAAGTAGAATCGTGGTTGCCAGGGTCTGGAATGGGGGTGGGGAGAAGAGAACAGGGACTTATTAGTTAATAGGCACAGAGTTTCAGTTTTACAAGATGAAAAAATTATGGGGCTCGATGGTGGTAATGGCTGCACAACAAGGTGAATGTATTTAATACCAGTAAATGAAACACTTAAAAACGGTTAAGATGGTTAATTCTTTGTTATGTGTATTTTACTACAATAAAAGGAAAATAAATAAAACCTCTTTTCAAAATTAATTGCCCAAGTAAACTATACAAGAGAAACTGCAGAGCTAAGAGAATTCAGCAAATCTTTTACAGATAAATATAACTTCTTAAATTTACTGCTTATAATAACATTTTGTTTATTTATTTCAAATAAGATACCTAGAATTAACTAACAAAAGATATACATGGGGAACTATAAAAATTTCTTAAAAGACATTAAACAAATGGAGAGATATGCCGTGTTGATGACTGGGACACTTAATGTCACCAAAATATCAAATTCTCCGAGTTAATCTATGGAATACCAATAAGACTCTCAGTGGGATTATTCATGGAACTTGATGAGCTGATTCTAACGTGTCTGTGTAAGAAAAAAGGAAAAGTGAAGAGCCAAGGCAATTTTGAAGACCAACAAGCTGGAAGGACTCACTGTTTATAAGAGAGCAAGACTTAATATAAAGCTTCTTGATTAGGACTGTGTGATCCATTTGTACCAACATAGACAAATAAACCTACAGAATAGAATGAAAAGGCAACACAAGACCCACACATCTATGGAAATATAATTTATGTCAGAAAGGATATTTCAAATCACTAGGTAAAGATGAACTTGCTCAATAAATTGTATTAAGAAAATTAGTTATCTACACAGGAAAAGATAAAGCATATTTCTACCTTATATCAAGCACAAAAATACATTCCAGATTAATGCATTATTACAAAAAAACAAAATTTATGATTTTTAGAATATATAGGAGAATATCTTTATGACCTAGAATAAGGAAAGATTTCTTCAAACAAGATGGCAAAAAGCACAGTGAAATTTAAATTTTAGATTCTTCAGGGGTTCCTGGATGGCTCAGTCAGTGGGTTAAATGTCCAACTCTTGATTTCAGCTCAGGTCATGATCTCAGGGTCATGGGATCTAGCCTCCTGTTGGGCTCTGCATACAGTGGGGAGTCTGCTTGAGATCCTCTCCCTCTCCCTTTGCCCCTCCCCAAGCTAACTCTCTCTATCTCTTTCTCTCAAATAAATAAATAAATCTTTAAAAAAGTAAAATAAACCTCAGATTCATTAAAATAAATAGGCTTCACCATAAATAAGGCTGTAGACAAGCCACAGACTGAAAGAAGCTACTTGTTATGCATGTAACTGACAAATGATAATAGAAAGAATATATTTTTTTAAAAAGACCACAAATGAACAAGAAGGCAACCCAAGAGACAAACAGACTAAAATATGAATATTGCAGTTCAACAGAAGGTGAAATAAAAGTTCTTAACCCACTAACCATTTAAACACAAATTAAGACAGCAATGAAATATCATTTCACATCCATCATATGAGCAACATTTTTAAAAATTCACTAATACAAAGAGTTGACAAGTCTAAACCCATAGAATCAGAGTGTAGAAAAGGAATTGCCAGAAGCTGGATGGGGTGGGGATAGGAAGAAGTTAGTAGAAGGGCACACGCATTGATCTACCAGATAAAGAAGGTCTGAAGATCTAATGTGTAACATGGTGATGATAGTTGATAACACTCTATTACATACTTGAAATTTGCTAAAAATCTGAAATGTGCTCATCAAAGAAAATAAATATGTGAAGTGATGAGTGTGTTAATTAACTAGGTGGGAGGAATCCTTGCACAATGTAGAATTGGATCAAATCATCACGATGGACACTTTAAATATCTTCCAATTTTATTTGTGAATTATGCCTCAATAAAACAAACAAAAAAATGTCAACAGGTCTGCAGAGCAATGACATTTGTCCTGCACTGATGACAAGAGCATAATTCTTGGAGAAGCAGCAATAACTAGTGAAAACGAAGACATACCTACTTCACCTGGAAATTCCACTTTCTAAGCAGATATCAAGGCATGGACCTGCATGCTCATTGCAGGGTTCTTTGTAATAGCAAAAAGGGAAAGAAAAGGGAAAGCTTTAACAGGACAGCAGGTTTTTTAAAATGGTATATACAGAGCACCTGGATAGCTCAGTCAGTTAAGCATCTGCTTTTGGCTCAGGTTGTGATCCCGGGGTCCTGGGATCGAGTCCCACATTAGGCTCCTGCTCAGTGAGGAGTCTGCTTCTCCCTCTGCCTCTGCTCATGCTCTTGCTCTCTCTCAAATAAATAAATAAAATCTTTTTTAAAAATTAGTATATACATAGAATATACTGCTATATGGCAGTTAAGATGAATAAACGAGAGCCGAATGGATTAATCTCCAAAACTTAATATGAATGGCAAAAAGAGGAACTTTTCAGAAAAGGTGGTTTGTTCCCATCTATGGAAAGTTTTAAAACATTCAAAACAATGCCATGTATCTTCATATTTAGTGAACATTATCAGAGCATTCAGGGATTGATAAACAACAAATTCAATTTAGTAGTTCCCTCTAGCGGAGGAGGATGGGGCAAGGGGTGAAGAAAAGATCCAGAGATATGAGATGGGCCCCATGGGTGGTGGACTCTCTCACCGCTCTCCCCTAGGTGTGCCACAGGGGAGGCATGGCAGGATATCATGCTGGCCTGCATGCCAGGGAAGAAGTGTGCCCCCGAGTCGGAGCCCAGCAACAGCACAGAAGGTGAAACACCCTGTGGCAGCAGCTTCGCGGTCTTCTACTTCATCAGCTTCTACATGCTCTGTGCCTTCTTGGTAAGCAGAGGTGGGACTAAACAGCCACAGATCATGAGTGTGCAGTTCAAGGCAGCCCAGGCCCGCTATCTATCCCTGCATCTTGCAGTCAGAGGAACCAGCTTGGAAAGACTCAGTTAGGAGCAGTGTCCAACCACTAGAAAAGGGCACAAAGCCCTGGGCCAGAGTGAGCCCAACCAGCACCTTTCTTATCTCTTCTTGGCTATTACCATGGTGGCAGTCTCCCAGAGGACAGAAGGGATGTGTGAGGGGGCCCAGAGGCAACCGATATGTTTTGGATACTTTGATGAGGAGTGTGAGGAAGGGTGGTTGAGAAAGCTGCCCTCCGTCCTTGGCAACCCTACCCAAAGTTTGGTATGAGGGAAACTGTACAGCCCACATGTGGGATTCATCCCACACCACTCCGAGGAGACCTGTGTCAGGTTCATAGCCAAGAGACAAAAGTTCCAGGGGCTGATATTTTAAATGGTAAATAGAGCTGGTCTTCAGAAATGTAGGCTTCTGCCATGCATGGCACTAACTGGCAAAGTGGATTTAAGTGGCAAGAAACGCTTCATATCTCTGTTCTCTGCAGATCATCAACCTCTTTGTAGCTGTCATCATGGACAACTTTGACTACCTGACAAGGGACTGGTCAATTCTTGGTCCCCATCATCTGGATGAATTTAAAAGAATCTGGGCAGAGTATGATCCTGAAGCCAAGTAAGTTCCCAGAGGGAAATACTGATTCCCAAAGCCCAGAGGACACAATGTGACCATACCCACAGAAGAGGTTCAACACAAGTTAGCGTTGGGTAGATTGATTAGAAACACTGAATTGCACCAGACCCCAGGGTCAAGGGTCAAGAGCCAGCAATAGTAGGCCAAGCATCTTTGACTAAATCAAAAACATATCTATTTTCAGTTGAATAGAAGGATGGGAGATCCTTGCGTCAGGAATAACTAGTAAGTATTCAAGTTAAAATGTTTAGAGTCAAGTAGATCTCAACTCTATTCCCGCCTTGGGTACAAGGATACCCTCACTGGTCAATCACATTTGGTTGACACTTAATAAATGCTTTTTGGACAGATGGTTAGATTGCCACAGCAAGTATATGTGAGAATCTCATTGCGCTACCTGAAGTTCCTTCCACCTTGAACATAGAACTGGTGGAAAATTGCTCATTAAAATCTAAACATGTATATATTGGTTTTAGAGTTTTGCCATGCAATTCTGCAACGCTGCACTGAGATTGACCAATAGGCCAATAGCTGTGGAGAGCCTAATACGTGAGTCTTGGGCTACAGGCTAAAACCATGACCCTCTGACTAATCTTTCCCTTCTGCCTTTCCTCTTTTAGGGGTCGTATCAAACACCTGGACGTGGTGACCCTGCTCCGGCGGATTCAGCCCCCACTGGGTTTTGGGAAGCTATGCCCTCACCGTGTGGCTTGCAAAGTAAGAGATAATATCTGGGTTCACAGGGGAAAAAGAAAATATGAGAGGGAAGAAGCCTATTTGTCTCGTGACCTTGGTCAGGCCATTGATACTTTAAGGAAGTGAAGATAATATTTTATGTGCTAAAGAAATAGGCCTGAGCCAGATTATATTTTAAGGTTCCTTCCAACAATAAACCCTCAGATTCTATAAAAGAAAACTGAAGTTAATGCCTCATGATCCAACAAGCCACATGCCCAGTCCCATCAGGTTTTACCACCTAGTCATCCTGGAAGACTTTCAGCCAAGGATGGATAGATTAAGGGTTCTCTTCCTGGGATCAGGGAGCTATTAAAGGGTCCATGCATCAGCTTCAGGGACCTGTAAAGCCCTAAAATTGTGTACAAAATCACTGAAACACTCACAAATTGTACCAAAGAGAGGATCCATCATGTTCATCAGATTTCTAAGTGAGTCTGTGACCCTATAAAAATTAAAGACAAGCATCTTAGACTCTTAAGACCCAACTCTTGCTCATGTGACCCTCACATGACCTTGAGAGTGAACACCCCATAAATTGTGTGTGCTCAGGCACCTCTCTTACCTCATTGTAATCTCAACCAGGTAGCCGTTGCTGAAGAGTACTGTTTCTACTCTACCCCCTCTTTTAATTCCCACTTCCACCATTCCATACTCCCTGTTGGAATAACAGTGAGCTGAAAGGAGTTGGGGGAAGTGAGGTGAGAGAGCTGTATAGAAGAAGGACAAATAGAAAACCTCAACTCCAGATAATCCATTCATGGGCAATAGAGAATTGAATTGTGCTCCATTTTACTCAGTTTTTTCTCACTTATATCTCCACTTTGTTCCCAAAAAAATTTTAGAAGGCTTCCAAGGTTATATAAGATATGAGGAGGGGAAAAAAGCACAAGTTAAATGTAAAGTCAAAGCCCAACGGACAAAACAGCAGGGACTGTGTGGCCTGCATGAGGTGACAGTGCATCCATCACAGCCTCCAGAGGGGCCTGGACAGGCTACCAATGTGTTCAGCTTCCCAGTGACTGCCCCACAATTCACACTGTCCATGAGAGTCAAGAAGACCCAGTCACTCAGGAAAATTATAACTCTTCTTGGCACTTTGATTAACGAGAGGACACCATGTGATCTAACAAATAACATCTTTGACCACATCTTGAGAGCAAATGCCAGAATGACTTTCATGGTGCTCTTTCTCATAATTACTCTGCTGTGTGCTGAGGCCCCACACCGGGGCACAATGCAGCAACAGCAATTTGGGCCAGTGAGAAAGGAGGGAAAAGGGCAATTCAATACTATCCAGTCAACAAGCTTTTGACCCAGCCTGATGCAGAGGTATGTTTTTTAATATACAGAAAAGAGGATACACTGTGCCTCCTGCAATGCAAACCTGCCATTACTGTCTCTCTTAGCAAGGCTCTGGATGAATGCTGGCTCCAGGTGGGCTCCTGGCAAGTGCCTGGCATGCCAGTAGAGAGTGCATCCATATGCCTGAGTAGACATTTGAGATGAGGAGGGTGTTGGGTGGGCTTAACATGTCTTTGTGGGAGCAAGGGTCTAATAAGGACAAATTCCATTCCTGCCTCGCTGGGGGCAGAAGGGTGAGAGTACTTATGGGAGAGCTGAAATTCTCCCCAGAAGACGTTTTGAATACATTTTAGTGACCCATGCCTCAAACCCCTACCTGCTGCTGACACTTGCACACAAGTTTGAAGGCTCCCTCCCAGCATTCTCCTGCCATGGTGGTTCTGTAGATCATTTGAGAACAGTTTGCTATAATCACCAACTTTGCCTCCTCTTAACCTCCAGCGCCTGGTCTCCATGAACATGCCTCTGAACAGTGATGGGACAGTCATGTTCAATGCTACCCTGTTCGCCCTGGTCCGGACAGCCCTGCGGATCAAAACAGAAGGTAGGGGTCATCTGAGGGCTACTGGGAGAACCATTTAGAGGATCTAGCAGACTAACCCAACAGCTGGCAAAATGCTCCCAAGATCTTCCCATTCTGGGTAGTATCAGAGCACTGGTTCAGTGGTAACCTTCACATCTAGGGATGTTGAAGACGCCTGGCCTACTCTTGTTTCCTTTGCTCCTTGAATGTTTTTTTCGTCTCTAGCATATTTACTTTGAATTCTAGCACTCCATTAATTTCTAGAAATTATTCTGGATGATATCTTGAAGTCACAGTTTATAGTTCAAAAAGCAGAAGGTGATGAGTGTTACCTAAAGCAAGGCTAAACCCCATCAAAATGGAATGTTACTGACTGTGTGGATCTCTCAAATGCTTAACTTTCTTTTTAAATTAGAACTGTCAAAAGGGGGTCATATTGGCAAATGGTGACTATGGTCAAAGTCATCACATACAATTGTACAAGCTGTGCCTGGATCAAGGTGTTCAGCCAGCCAACAGGTGTGGTTTAAGATCTCACCTGTGCTCTGCTGGTTGGGCCATGCTCCCTCAGGTCCATGTTCACCTGAAGGGATGCCTTCTGGTTTGTACAAAGTTACCTTATGGGCTAGCAGCAGCCTTGGCTGAGATAATCTACTGTCTTTATAGATGATGAGTATTTCTTAACCACTGTGTGGGAAAAGCTACGTAGAATAGAATGTACCTAGAAAGATGTGACTGCTCACAAACAGCTTCTAGCTTATTATAGTGTTTTATAGAATGTGATCAAAAGACCACCTGCCTCAAATTCAGCTGCTGAAGCTTGTTTAAAATGTGATAAGTCATTTATTCTCTCTCTACTTCAGCTCCTTCATTGGTAAAATAAGAAAGATAATGATGTGTAGAAATTCAGTTCAGTGAATAATCCAGCAGAGAAGTGCCTTTCTCAGTTAAATCCTTCCAGAAAATAAGAGAAACATCTAAAATGAAAGAAAACAAGAACCAGGCTAGCAAGACACATGTTAAAGTAATGAGCTAATCTTTAAAAAATTAAAAATAGTTCAAGTTATGCTGCCAAACTAAAGAGAAACAAAGGCTGAGGGAGGCAGTCCAAAATGTTGGCATAAGAAGACGCTGAACTCACCTCCTCCCAAGGATACACCAAATCTACACCCACATATGGAGTGATTCTTCTGGAAGAACTGAGTGCTGATTGAACAACTTCTACACAACAAAGGTTAGAGGAACCACACAGAAAATGACAGGAAAGATTAAGATATGGTAACTATGGGAAACCCTTCTCCAACAAACCAATGTGACAACCTGCAGTGAGGAAGAATAACACTGAGAGCCCTATACCCAAATTCACCCAACCTGGGACACAGAAAGAACAGTGACTTAAAGGGCAACAACACTATAAGTGAAGGAAATCCATTTGTATCCACTAAATGGCAGGGGAAGGGGAACTACTGGAGTTCTCTTCAAGTTGGAGGTACCAACAAGCACCATTGTTTACATTCCCCTCCACCTTGATAGTACAGATGGGAGCAGGATCCAGGTGCTCTAGTTGGCCTGCTAGGGTTACTCCAGTGAGCCATAGGCCCTTAACCTACACCAGCTCTCCCCAAGATAACCCTCCACCCATCCCTGCCCCACCTCCAACCACCCTGCCAAGGTGACCTCCAGTTTCAGTGTATTCCCACATACCCCAGCCAGTGCCTGCTTAGGCTCAAGCCATTCCATCAGGGTCATCCAGGCATAGTGCACCCCTGGACTCCCCCAGGACACATTGGCTTCAGGTCCAGCCAGCCAGCCAAAGCTTCCAGGCACATGCAATATACACAGGGAATGTACACAATGTACACAAGACTACTCCTTAAGACTGGGAGTGGTGGCTATTCCACCTCATATGTAGATACTAACACTGAAAGTCAAACAAAATAAGGAGACAAGAGAATATGTTCTAAATGAAAGAACAAGATAAAGCCCCAGGAGGAAAAAACCCTGAAGAAATGGTGACAGGTTATTTGCCAGACAAAGTAGAGTTCAAAGTAATGGTCATAAAGGTGTTCACCAAAATCAAAAGAAGAATGGAGGAACACAGTGAAAATTTCAACAAAGAGTTAGAAAATATAAGAAAGTACCAGAGAGGACTCACAGAGCTGAAGAACACAATAATTGAATTGAAAAATACACTAGGAATCAACAGCAGATTAGATGATACAGAAGAATGGCTTAGCAATCTGAAAGACAACAGTGGAAATCACCCAGTCAGAACAGCAAAAAGAAAAAAGAATTTTTAAAATGAGAATAGTTTTAACTTCCTTAATTTGGGGAAGGAAACAGGCATTTAAGTCCAGGAGACACAGATAAACCCCCTCAAAATCTACAAAAATAGGTCAACAACTCAAGATATAATAGCTTGCAAATTTCAGAGATAAAGAAAAAATCCTGAAAGCAGCTCAGGACAAAATGTTCTTAACCTACAAGAGTAGAAATATAAGGCCAGCAGCAGACCTGTCCACAGAGACCTGGCAGGCCAGAAAAGGCTGGCATGATATATTCATTGTGCTAAATGGGAAAATACGCAACCAAGAATAGCTGTTATTCAGAATAGAGGAGAGATAAAGGCTGTCATTCAGAATAGAAAGAGAGATGAAGAATGTCCAGGACGAACAAAAGCTAAAGGAATTTGTGAACACTAAACCAGCCCTGCAGGAACTATTAAAGGGGATCCTTTGAATGAAGAGAGAGAGCCCAAACTAACAAAGACCAGAGAGGAACAGAGACAATCTACAGAAACAGTGACTTTACAGGTAATACAATGGCATTAAATTCAGATCTTCCAATAATTACTCTGAATGTAAATGGACTAAGTGCTCCAATCAAAAAACATAGGGTGTCAGATTGGATTTAAAAAAAAAAAACCCATTGATATGCTGTATATATGAAATTCATTCTAGACCAAATGACACCTCCAGATTGAAAGTGAGAGGGTAGAGGACATTTATCATGCTAATGGACATCTAAAGAAAGCTGGAGTAGCAATCCTTATATCACACAAATTAGATTTTAAACCAAGACTGTAATAAGAGATGAAGAAGGACACTCTATCATAATAAAAAGGGTCTATCCAACAAAAAGATCTAACAATTGTAAATATTTATGCCCTTAACTTGGGAACAGCCAATTATATAAACCAATTAATGACAAAATTAAAGAAATACATTGATAGTAATACAGTAATAGTAGGGGACTTAACACCCCACTCACAACAATAGACAGATCATCTAAGCAGAAGATCAACAAAGAAACAAGGGCTTTGAATGACACACTGAAACAGATGGACTTCACAGATATATACAAAGCATTCCATCTTAAAGCAACAGAATACACATTCTTCTCAAGTGCACATGGCACATTCTCCAGATGAGATCACATAATAGGTCACAAATCAAATCTCCTGTAGTACAAAAAGACTGAAATTATACCATGCATATTTTCAGACCACAGTACTTTAAAACTTGAACTCAATCACAAGAAAAAATTTGGAAGGAACACAAATACATGGAGGCTAAAGAGCATCCTACTAAAGAATGAATGGGCCAATCAGGAATTTAAAGAAGTATTTTTTTAAAATACATGGAAGCAAATAAGAGTAAACACATGACAGTTTAGAACCTTTGGGATGCAACAAAGGTAGTCCTAAGATGGAAGTATATAGCAATACAGGCCTTTCTCAAGAAATAAGAAACGTCTCAAATACACAACCTAATTTTACATCTAAAGGATGGAAAAAGAACAGCAAATAACGCCTAAATCCAGCAGGAGAAGAGAAATAATAAACAGTAGGGCAGATATAAATAACATAGAAATTTAAAAAAAAAAAAAACCAACACTTGAGCAGATCAATGAAACTAGGAGCTGGTTCTTTGAAAGATTTAATAAGATTGATAAACCCCTAGCCAAATGTATCAAAAAAGAAAAGAGGAAGGACCCAAATAAATAAAATCATGAATGAACAAGGAGAGATCACAACCAACACTGAAGAAATACAAACAACTATAAGAGAATATTATGAGCAATTATATGCCAAAAAATTAGGCAATCTGGAAGAAAAGGATGCATTCCTTGAAACATATAAATTACTGAAAATGAAACAGGAAGAATGAGAAACCTGAACAGGCCCATAACCAGCAAAGAAATTGAATCAGTAATTAAAAATCTAACAAAAAAGAGTCCAGAGTCAGATGGCCTCCCAGCAGAATTCCAACAAACATTTAAAGAATTAATACCTATTCTTCTGAAGTCATTTCAAAAAAAATAGATACGAAAAGAAAACTTCCAAACTTATTCTATGAGGCCAGCATTATCTTGATCCCCAAACCAGGCAAAGACCCCACCAAAAGGGAGAACTACAGACCAATATCCCTGATGAAAATGGATGCAAAACTTCTCACCAAGATATTAGCTAATAGGATCCAACAGTACATCAAAGGGATTATTCACCATGACCAAGAGAGATTTGTTTCTGGGCCACAAGGGTGGCTCAACATTCATAAATCAATGTGATACACCATGTTAATAAAAGAAAGAACAGAACCATATGATTCTCTTAATCAATGCCGAAAAAGCATTTGACAAAAAACAGCATCCTTTCTTGATAATTAAAAAAAAAAAAAATGTCTGCAGTTTGGGGATAGAGGGAACATACCTCAATATCACAAAAGCCATATACAAAAAACCCACAGCAAATATCATCTCAATGGGGAAAAACTTAATGCTTTCCCCCTAAAGTTAAGAACACAACAGGAATGTCCACTCTCACCACTGCTGTTCCACATGGTACTGGACTCATCCCTCAGCTGATCAGACAACAAAAAGCAATCAGACAACAAAAAGAAATAAAGGGCATCCAAGTCAGCAAAAGACATCAAACTTTCACTCTTTGCAGATGACATGATACTCTACTTAGAAAACCCAAAGACTCTACCCAAAAATTATTAGAACTGATACAGAAATTC